CCAGAGGGCCATAAACTTCGAAACCATAAAAGCCCCTAAACCCCTTTAAGTTTAACCGCTATAGCTCCCCAAACCTTTTGACAACCTCTCTGACGTCCCTTGAAGTGCCAAAAGTTCGAGGCCCGAGCTCTGCGAAGCAGTCTAGTTCAACGAGACAAAGTACATCAGCGCCTTGCTGGTTTTTTGTGTGAAGTATTCTTCTGATCATTCTTCTATTCTTAGTCTGGTTATTGCCATTCTCGTGTTTCTGATTATCCTTCTGCTTCTTCTTAATTGTAGTCGTATTGTTTGTTCTTCTTTTGGGCACCATTATTCGTGACATTCTGAGTGTTCCTACTCTTTTGCTATTCGTACTACTTCTTCTACTACTACTACTACTACTACTAAGAATAATAATAATAATAACTACTAACTACTACTACCACCACTACCAGTGCCAACACCACCACGACTGCTGCTACTGCTACTTTCAGTTTGCCTGTTGGGAGAAGCTCAGGAACCGGCGAAGAGCCCGAATCTCCTGCAGGAGCACCTGCAGCGTTGTGGCTGCAGGTTTCTGGTTTTAGTACATAGGGTTTAGGGTGTAGGGTTTAGCTACATAACGAAGTTCGAGTAGATCATAGTCAATGACTATAGCATGGTGTGTTGACGGTGTAGAGCTTGCAAGAATCAAGGCCAATCCAGTGACGACGAATTCTGCCGAAAATGCGCTGTCCCGGATGACATATCTGATCCAAAATAACGACTGTTGTTATTGCAACTCAATAATACTAAAGCAGAGCAACAACAGTACAGTAGTAATGATAATGAGGCCAATATTTCGACTAACGTTCAGACTAACTCATCATGTTGTCAAAAACCACAGTTGAAGCAAAAACTAGATCTACAGCCCTTAACCTGTAAACCCTAAACCCTAAATCCTTCATCCTGAACCCTCAACCCTAAACCATTCTTATATCAAACAGGCATCGAGAGCAAGGGCCCAAAGAGCTGCCTGGCGGCGGTAGAATCGGGACTGCCTCAGGGGCGAAAGAGCCCAAGGAGGCGAACTTCCAGAGCACAGACGTCGGTTTGAACGTAGAAATCTGAGGCTTAGGGCATTTTTTGGTAGTATTTTGATATACTAGAATGGTACTTTCATAGTATGGGCTGAGCATTTGAAAAAAGCCTCTTCAGCCCGGCCCCTTTTCGCGAAGGCCAACCGAGCCCTTCGCCCATCATCTGGCGACCACATCAAGTTCGGTGGAAAGCTCGGATCTGCCTTGGGCACACGGAATCATTGGTCTGGATGCGGGGTCTGTTGAAAAGGAGGCCTTAACAGTTAGAATGGCATTTTGCAGGTTTTTTGGGAAAGAGGAACAAAGTATATCACAGTATAATCATGCGAGAACTCTACCGGGATAGCTGGTCGAGATAGTCCACGAGGCCTCAAACGGTTTCCACTTCGGGCCATCTGGAGCGAATCGCCCCTGTAAAGGGTGAAACACCAGCAACCTTACGGCCTCGGTCAGCAACCCTGAACCCTGAACCCTAACAGCAGGGCTTTTGCCGTCGCAGGACAACGCACAGCCTATTCCCGGCACGGGGCGTTAGGCCTCTGGGCCCCAGGACTCCCCCAGATAAAGACCCTTTTTCTGACTCGGCATCGAAGAGTTTCGGAGAGCCAGGAAACAAAGCAGAAAGGCCGGATCCTCACCACCAAGCATAGATCCCGAACGGCCGCCAGCCCCTACACCTCACCCCCTACAAAGGACGGACCAATATAGGGGCCTTAAGGATTAGAATAGAGCCTGGGGGTATATTATACTATAAATATAATAAGGAACCCCCAAAGTCCCAGTCTACGTATTAAGGCCCCTACATTAGCTTTCAACAATCGCAGAGGAATGTCAGCGTTTTACTCAGGCTGGAAGAGGCTCAAGGACCGCAGCGACGTTGACAAGAGCATTCTTCGGGTTTAGGGTTTAGGGTTTCGGGCTTAGGGCCGGTTTAGGGTTTAGGGTTTAGGATTTAGGGTTTAGGGTGGTCAGGTGTTGAAGACTCTGAGCATCAATACGCCTACGTCATGCCGATGATGCTTGCAAGAACCGCGAACACTAGAGCAAGCAACCTTTAGCCGGGATAGGATGCTGTCCCTTGACTAACTGTCAGTTGTCGATGTCTGAACCACAAACTTGAACTTATGTTGAAGTTCTCTCAGGGCAGATTATTCCCATGCCAGCAACAGAGGCAGAACATGGGAAGCAACGTCTTTTCTGGCTGCCTAGCATCTGCCCTGAACCTCCACCAACCCTCAATCTGAGTCGCGGACTTTTCGGAAGTCCCACTTTGAGGACGCAAACTGCGCGGGCCTGTAAGTTGAGCACAATTGTGCCCTGCAAGCTTTTGCCAACGATGACACGAGTGGCCGAAGCTTGTGGCTCTTGGAGCAGCGTTTGCATGCTTCGAGGGTAGACGCAGTCTTCACCGTTGCGGGTGCTGCTGTTGAGTAACTACACGATCAGCTGAAGTCCAGGCAGGAAGTCTCTGGCATAATGGAACCTGGCAACACCCAAGCAATGTCAACTGCAACAAAGAACTGACAGCAAGGCACATAAGGCCTAGTCCAGGTTACAATACACTCAAAGTCCACGCAGCAGAGGATCCCCCGATCCCCATTATTCTAATATATTAATAATATAATATAATAAAAAATAATATAATGATATAATAATATAATAATATAAAAACATAATAATATAACAATATAACAGTATAATAAGCCCGCCGGCCAGGCCACATGGTGCCTGCCATGTTCTTGCCTCACACGTCCAGCTGCAAGACTGCAATGGAACGGGATCGTCCCGAAGCGGTTTCGGGCTTCTCGGCACGCTGTGGGGTTTCGGGTTTGGGGCTACAGCACCTTACAACCTGTTGCTCAATTCGGGCCCCTGAAAGCAGTTATTCCAACTAGAGCCCTTTGGTGCAAGCTTCAAGCCTGAATAGGGCAAAAACTTTCTGCAAGCCCCTCATGGCTTCGCAGGACGCACATATTGAAGCCAAGAGGCCTAGAATGTTGAAGTGAGCGACGCGGAACCTCGAAGGATCTCGACAACAGCTTGTCATGCTTCAACCGTGGGAGAGCCCACCCAACCGCAATGTCCCAAAGGCTGCAACAGAGACGTGGCTTCATGTGCTGTCCTGGAAATACGTAGTCGCAGCAAGATTAACCTAGACTGTGGCTGCGGCATGTCGACGTGGAAACGCCGACGGCCAGTTGGCAGTCTGTACAATCCGCAAGTACGCCTTACAGTCTCTGGTGCTGACGTCTGCCACTTATTGCAGTCCGAAGCTGGAAGGGTTCGTGGCTAGGCGGTCTACCGTTTTGGTTCGACTGGTGGTGAGTCGGGCTTGCTGTGGCTGTTCGGCCGCACCTCGCTAGGCCCTTTCTGAGTTCTTGTCTGCAAGAGGTTGCTGCGGCCATTTTGGGCATGTTCTTGAATGTAGACATCACGGAAAGACTCCAACCCAAGAATACTCTCATGCCGTACAAACTGAGGGAGAAGCACATACCGAGCCGTACAATAGTAGATTATGCTATGCTATATTGTATCATATTATGCTAAACTACTTCATAATATGTTACATTGTGTTATGATATGCTATGTCATGCTATGTTATGCTATACTAGGCTAGGCTAGGCTAGGCTAGACTAGACTAGACCAGACTATACTATATGGTAATATATCACAACATAATGTAACATACTACATAACAATACACTACATTATACTGTATTCTATTATTATGTTATATTCTACAATATCATACTAACCTATTTATCGTATCATACTGTGTTTTATTGCTTTTCATGTTCTGTTATGTTATATTACATTACATTGGATTATACTATAGTATATTATTCTATACTCTACTTTCATTACAACATAATACATCTCGGTACAATATAATACGATATTATGTAATAACATACTAAGAAAGTGCAATATGACACACTACACTGTGGTATAATAGAATACACTCTAAATATCACATAATTTGAATGCAATCCAATCCAATACAATACCATACAATACAATACAATACAATACAATCTCAAAAATTTAATATAACATAATGTCATGTAATACATAGTAGGGATACAGCATCGTAGTGTTATTATATACTATGTAATGCAGTCAATGTGTTATGCTATGTTATGTTATGCGCTGTTCTTTCAACCTGGATATTATATTTACAGTTGTATATTATTTGGCATTGTATCAGAACATAATAAGTACCACATTACACTATATTTTACCATGTTATACTATATTCTACTATATTTTACGAGGTTATACTATGTCATGCTGTATTATACTATATTATGGGATATTACGACATCACACTATATTATGCCATCTTATACTATATCACATCATATCATATTAAACTACATTTGCTCTATTACATTATATTGTACTATATTATCTCATATTACCTTATATTATATTACCTTGTATTATCTTTCTTGTTCTCCTATATGGTATTACATCATATTATATTGTATTCCCTTCTGTTCTACTGTGTTGTACTGTGTTGTATTTATCCTACTATATTGTGTTGTATTCTGTTCTATCGTGTTATACTATATACTACACTATAGTTACTATAAACTATTGCATATTGTGACATTCTACTATATTACATTATATATCTGAGCTCAAGACGACGGGCGCTTTTACACCTCAGGAGGGTGCAGCTGCTCTTGAGCCGACCGGGCTGAGGCCCGAATTAAAAGCGCTGGCAGGACATCGGCAAGCCGGATCTGTCTAGGAACGACGGTGCTTAGGTTTAGGGTTTAGGGCTGCTGACAAAAAAAACAAAAGGCACTAGTTTGGGATAGGCTCTCACTCCCCGACAGAGGCTCGACCCCACGAAAGATTCTCTGTACAACCAGATCCTGGCAGGCCCCTTCAGGGCCCCGGGTCTACAGAAGCTTCACGGTAGCCCTGCTCGAGTTACGGCGCTGTCAACTTCTTGTAAGTCGGTGCTGCATGCCCGTCAGGAGTCAGGGGAATCGCCTGCAGCAAAGGTCAAGCCAGCCCTGAACATCAGTCAGCTCGCTTCGCTGCCCAGATGATTTCAGATGGATACAGTCTTAATGCACAACAGCCAGCACGTTCCTCTCTTCCACATGCCCCAACTCGACCATCCCGGACCGCCTTGTCACTGGCTGCCATGAGGCCTGTGCTGGCATCACGTACGCCGCCTGCAGCTCGTGGGGACCGTGGCAGGCTCACGAAGCTCCCGGGTGCAAATCCGCATCCCAAGTTAGTGGAAGGCCTGGGCGGCTGGGGCAGGCATGCGCATCGGCGGGGCCATCTGCGGCGCCCTGACTGGGTACACGATCTGCGACTGCGTCCGCGGCCTCCCGCAGATGACAGGTCGAAGCTTCGAACAAACACCTCTCACAAAAGGCTTCCTAGTTGACCCATCTGAGGTCGTTGAGAGAATGGCATCGGCTTTCCGCCTGAAGCGCATCTTTAGCGACTTTGGCGTTTGAGTCATTTGAGTCTTGCTTACCAGCAGCTTGGCGCCTGAATCCTGGCTCAATCGGCGCCGTGAGAACCTGGCGCGGGACATCGTCGTGTAGCCAATCGCTTGGGGGCTGGCTAAGTCTAGGTACAAGTTTAGGTCTTATGTAAAGAGCTGCGTGTCTCTTCAATTTCTCCTCCTCCTCTTGCTCCTCCTCTTCCTCCTCCCCCCTCATCCATGCCTTGGCCATCCTCGCTGCCGTCAGCATCATCACCATCATCATCGTCATCATGATCATCATCGGCTTCTCCATCAAAGTCGTCATACAAACCGTCATCACCTCTGCCACAGCCCCCACCATAGTCAGGAACAAGATCAACAGAACCCTTGTGAGCAGGACAGTCCGGCCCCAAACCAAGATCCAAGAAACTCTGACACCCTTCCTAACCCTAAACCCCTATAAGGCCGTATAAAAAGCCTAAGACCCAAGACCTCCCCGACCCGGCCCCTCCTGGACGGTCGTTTCGGATCTTGTGGGAGGCTCCGGCTTCCTCGGCCAGCGACAGTCNNGGCTTTTGGGTTTCGGGGTTTAGGGTTTTGGGGTTTAGGATTGAGGGATTTGGGTTTCGGGTTTTTGGGTTTAGGGCTTTTGGGTTTAGGGTTTTTGGATTTTTGGGTTTAGGGCTTTTGGGTTTAGGGTTTTAGGGTTCAGGGTTTAGGGTTTAGGGTTTTTGGGTTTTAGGGATCAGGGTTTCGGGTTTAAGGTTTCAGGGTTTCGGGTTTCTGGGTTTAGGGTTGAGGGTTTTGGGTTTCGGGTTTCGGGTTTTGGGGTTTAGGGTTTCGGGTTTAGGGGGGCTAGGGTTTCGGGTTTTGGAGTTTTGGAGCTGGGGTTTAGGGTGGATTGGCGTTGATGTCAGGTAGATGCTTCGCAGGAATGACTGCAAGCTCATCTCGAAGACCGCCTTACACGTCTGCATGCATAGATGCATGGATGGACGAACACATGGAAAGATGGACGGATGTATATATTACGAAATAATATAGTATGATATAGAAAACAAAGAAAATGTAACATAATAGGGTACACAGACGGTGAGTCTTGACGATCGGGATCGGGTGTTGGGGCACCGGGTCTAAAGTTATATAACGGAACTACACAAGGGATACTCACTATTGCCACTCTCCCCGACCCTAGACCCTAAACTCTCCCGAAACCCTCAAAGCTGCCCGAAACCCTCAAAGCTGCCCGGAACCCTAAACTCTCCCGAAACCCCAAACCCTAAGCCCTAAACCCTAATTCCCAAACCCTCACCCCTAAGCCCTAAACCGTAAACCCTAAACCCCAAAACCCTAAATCCGCAAACCCTAAGCCGAAGCTCCCCGAAACCCCTAAGCCCTAAACTCTCCAAGAGCGGCCGAGCCTCGTCTCGGGAGCGGCCTCCGGAATTGCAGGGCTCGGGCTGCTGCTCCGGCTGCTTTTGCTGGAGCTGCTGGCGCTTCCGAAGAGCCTGGGCTAGAAAGGGTTTTAGGGTTTAGGGGTTTGGGGGTTTTGGGGTTTAGGGGTTGAGGGGTTGAGGGGTTGAGGGGTTGAAGAGGTTTTGGGCGTAGTTTTTGCAGAGTCTGTGGCTTAGGAATATTGGGATACGATTTGTGCGTTGGGTATGCCGTTTAGGAGTTGAGGACATAGTGTTTTATCGGGCCCTTTTCCGTCTGCTGACCATCCGGATATCTAGCAGGCTTTAGGTATCGCCTCTCTGTGCAGTGAAGCGTCTGCTCCTGAACCGCCTCAGCAGCAATTGCCACATTGGCAGCTGCCGTCTGCGCATGCTGGCTGATGACATCTCCTGCTGTCTGGACCGCAGAGCTCGTGTGATGCCTTGGCCAATCACAAAGCAAGGCGCCAGTAAAAGCTGTGAAGGCTTGTTAAACGTCTGCTGCTTCAGGGACGTCTCAGAAAGAGGCCTGAGCTGCATGAGCTCTTCCTTACCTCATTGTCCCTTCCCTGACCGAAACACAGAAGAGCGGACTCAGCACTTGGAGAGCCAGTGGCTGACTCTCGTCAATGCAGACATGCGAGCCCCAAGCGATGCAAATACCCACATAAGATTCCGAAGCCCAGAAGCCTGCAAGGCAAACGTCCCAAAGCCCGCACGGAGCCAACCTGAAACACAACTCCGAAGCAGCAGCGCCCCCTCTCGGGTCTCGTCCCCTTCCGAAGGCTACTGCAACCCAGGGAGCCACGCGTTCGTCACGGCCCGCTCCACGTGGGGCCGCACGGCCTCGATGGCCTTCGGGGCCTCCCAAGGGACCAAGAACGTCGGAGTGCAGTTGAGGAAAGAAGACTGTGATGATGACGGTAATGATGGTGATGGTGATGATGATGACGTTGCTGATGACGCTGATGCTGATGCTGCTGCTGCTGCTGCTGCTGCTGATGATGATGATGATGATGACGTTGGTGATGACATTGATGATGAGGTTGATGAGATGATGATGATGATGATGATGATGTTGATCACGACGATGATTGCCGCGGTTGTCCTTTCTACCATCACTATCACTACAAGCTGCTTTGACGATGATCATGCCGAAGATCGTCTTCATATATGGATGTCTCCATATATGGATGTCTATGAAATCCCACGCAATACTGCGACTACGATTGTGCTGTTGATTATTGGACTACTCTCAACTATCACGACTGCCACTACTACCGCCACCAAGACCACGGCCACGACCACGATCACGACAACGAAGACGACCACGACTACTTCTGCTGCTGCTGCTGCTACTCCCACTCCTACTGCTACTGCCACTGCTACTGCCACCGCTACTGCTCCAGCTGCTGCTGCTACTGCTACTGCTACTGCTACTGGCGTGGTGCGACTTCAATGCTCATTGAGCACAGCTGGCCCGCCCGAGGCGCAGAGTCAGGGTGTACATACCGACTACACTTAAACACAACAGGAAGGCGCCTTGCTGCTGCTACTGCAGGTTCTGGTCAGAAGTGAGGGAGGTTTCTTGTTGAGCTGATCGTCAGTAAGTACCAAGATTGAACCAGGTTGCACATTAGTTGCAAGTATAAATATGAGCTCAGCGTGCCGATGTCCATGAATACCAATACCTAAATAAATCCACGTTTTTCACGCCCCACATCTTAAGCAAGTTTGTGGTTAGTGCAGATGCGGATTCTGTGTCCGCTACAAAGACGTGCCCGCGGCCTCCTCGGCCACGGCTCTGTGTGCAGCACGGGCGGCCTTTTCAGCATAATTCCGTTTAGGGTTTAGGGTTAGTGCTCATACTAGGTGGCATATCTACACGGAGATTCATAAGACTATATTTCTGCTGGGCTTGACCTGCTAGATTAGGGCGTTGCTAGAAATTGATGGCATGTTTGGTAGTAGCAATAGTCATTAGTTCTTGGGATCGTTAGGTAGGTCAGCTTGTCAGGTAGACAATTAGTCAGTGCTTGCCAATAGTGCTATATAGTAGTGGTAGCAATACCAGTAGCACTAATAGCACCAGCACTACTAGTTGCGCCGGCATTTGTACTAGCAGTCGTCGCCGTACGGCAGCCACCCGAGCAGCAATGCGAGGAGCACCCGCAGCAGCAGAAGTGGAAGAGCTATTAGTATCATTACCATTACCATTACTATGATGATTACGACTACTAGTGGCATTATTGCTCTTACTATTTCTAGTGCTGGCTAATGAAGCCCCGGAGCACGGGGGGGAATCCAGGAATTCCTGGGAAGAATCTCAAACAACTGCAGGCAGCCTTCAAGGATCGCGGATCTTGGGAACGGAGGACTGTTGACTTTCCCTCGGAAATATGACACTCGCGAGAAGAACGGTTTAGTGACCGAAACCGCCGGTGGCCTCCTCCACATATGGCCGTGCCGTTTCATACATCACCGGCACGTCATGCCAAACGGCTTTGTGGATAGCCTGCCCGGCCTGCACATCCGGCACAAGGATTCGGGAAAAGTTGCCAAGAAGCCGACATCCCGCTCGGCCTGCTGGACATACGGCCGGGCAGTCTCCACACCGGTCTCAACCATCACAGGCACATCGTGCACCACGGCCTTGTGGATCACTTTCCCGGCCTGGCTCAAAGCAAAAAGAAGTCGGTTCATGGCTATGAAATTAGATTTCTGCTGTGGGGGACCAGACCTGCTGCTTTGCTTGTGCCTAACCTCCAATGCTGGAGAACGGGATCAGAGATCCGTCTGGCTGTGTGTGTAATGACGGACCGTGCCTTATCGCCAAACTCTCGGACCCAGCAACCACAAATGATTATCTTCGGGGTCCTAATTTGCCATGGTTCTGTCCTTGCTGCTCTCATCACTGCTCGGGCTATCTCGGGCTATGCAACCAACCCTCGACGACTCTCTTGTCGGACACCTGCTGGGCTTTCACCGGGGAGCTCGTACTCTGACTACAGTCAGTATCGCCCTGATTGCTGTAATGACAACAGCTTTTGTGCTTCAGACTAATCTGTTCCTACAGATTGACGGCTTGAGTGTCGAAGCATGCTGCATGCTCCAGAGACTGGTTTCCGCCGAGATGAGATTCGAACTTCAGCTCTGCAAACATGACTGTATGGTGGCAGCTCTGCGTCCGCAGTTTCCGACTGCTTCAAATTCTTTTCAAGGGATGTGCATCAATTCAGAGCATGGAGTTGCAGGTGGCTCCGGGCTGAGGGTGAAAGAAGCAACAGCAGTAGCAGTGCCTCCGTCCCCTTCTCCACGACATACACCTCGCAACATGCGGAGTTATTCTTGTCGTCGGGAACCCCGGGATGGCATGCCAAAGCCTTGCCTGAACAGCAAAGCATTCGAAAACTCCCCCTGCCCGATGTGGTAACTCGCAGCCCTGGCCTGCGTCTGCACGATGGCGCGCTCGACGTGGGGTCTCGCCACTCGGTAGAGAACCGGCACGTCCTGGGGTAAGAGCCAGCTTCTCCGACTTACAATCATGCTAGAAATACAGATTCACAACCCAGGCACGTAAGCTTACACATCATCGTCACCACCGTCACCCTCCATCATCATCAGTCGTCATGCTCACTGTCGCGGTCATCATGTGGTCATCACGATCATAGTAATGGTCCTGACACGCGGGAGCTTTAACGTTCAGCGTGGACTCGATCTCTCTCATGATTCGTGCCGAAGCTAAACACGCGTCGATCTTTAGAAACGACCAGTCAGCCAGAATTGGGTTGAACTGTCCGAGAAACTCGATGCAGGGCAGTTGCCTAACATGGGACCTATCACGGATCTAGTCTGGGGCATGGAAGGTCCCTTGGTGCTGCCCCTAAGCCCTAAAGCCCTAAACCCTAAACCCACAAAACCCCTAACCCTTAAACACCCTTCTAAATCCCCCACCTCGAGCACGACCTTCTGCAAGCGATCACCTGCAGCAGGCTTCTTCTCAGGAACCCACCCCCAGAAACCCTCAGCTCTTTGCTTCAGAACCTCAAGTTTGGCCCCAGAACAAGGGTTTGAGGGGAAAGGGGTTTAGGGTTTAGGGGTTTAGGGGTTTAGGGTTTAGGGTTTAGGGGTTTAGGGTTGAGGGTATTAGGGTTTAAGGGTTTGGGATTTGGGGGTTAGAGTTCAGGGTTTAGGGTTTATCGTGAGCCTCAGGAGCTTCAGGAGGCTCTCGGGTTTAGGGCCCAGGCTAAGGGATTGGAGTCTTCTTTGGAAGGCCTCGGCGCTTAGGATTTAGGGTTTAGGGCTTAGGGTTTAGGATTTAGGATTTAGGGTTTAGGGTTTAGTGCTTAGGATTTAGGGTGTGTTTGCCAAGGGCGTTACGTCCGCCGGCCATGCGCCCCATTCCCGGCCTTCCCGCCCCGATCATCAGTCGATCCTGAAATGCAAGCCCTGAAACTGCAAAGAAGAGCCGAACAGTAAACTCTACTCTATTCCTTAAACCCTGCAGCTTCTAGTAGCGCCTTGAAGTAACCACTGTAGGGACACTCACGCTACACCGGACCCCGATTTTAGCTCTTAGACAGTACCCACCGAAACAACTCTTACAGCAATTTTCGCCCGAAGGCCGGCGTGCTGACCGTAGCGCGCCAATGCATGCCCCCCAGCCTGAACAGTTTGAGCGAAGCTCAAAGTTTTTGCCGACGTTAGTGGCTTTGGGCTTCGGATGTTGGTGAGTTTAGGGTTTAGCGGGGCTAAGGGTTCCGAGCTTTGAGATTCTAGTGGTTCAGGGTTAAAGTCTGGGACAAGCGGCGATGTCGAAAACTTGTGTCCCAAAAAGTAAACACCAGGCGCTGCGGCGCAAACTCAACACACCGTCACTGTCCATCTGCAGCGGTACTTCTGTGCCACCACCGTGAACCACAAGCGCCGGTTACCTCTCTGAATAAACTCCGAGCTGAACTCGGATGTGAAGTGCAGACCCTGATTCAGCGTCCGAAGCAAACCCCGTGAAACTCCAACCACAGAGCCTGGCCCCAACGGTAAACCTACCCAAAGAACCTCACTCTCAAAACCCCTAGAACAAACTGTGGACCCTGCGCCCTCAACCCCCCACTTGCTAGAACCCCCTAAACGCCCTCAACCCCATCTAACCCGAAACCCTTACCCCTTTGCTTTCTGGGCTGCCTGGAGCCCGGCCCTTGCCCCATGGAGCGTCCGCGCGAAGCGGTCGACCCAGTCCTCTTGAGCTTTTTGGCGGAGCTGGGCTTCGTTTTTTAGCCAAGAAATAGACCATAATTCCCCATAGTTTAGGTTCCTTCAGGTAATGCAGGATTTATATCATCAACTGTAGTAGTGGTACTAGTCAGCGATACGAGCTTTGGATGATTCGTCGTATCGTGGTAGCATCACAACTTCTGAGGGTCCCATAAGATTCTATTATTCTAGACACCAGATTGCAAACATCTCACATGAGAGTGCTCCCGTAGAGAAACGACTTAAGTTCTATGGCTGGCTTGAGGACTGCCCGGTCGTTGCTCAGGCCAACAAGAAAGAAAAAAACATGTAAATGATTTCAGGGCAGGTTTAAGAGTTCAGATAGCAAGGTTGGGATTCGGAACAACACCTTCGGCAACAAACAGCATCTCCGCCTAGCCGCGGCGAAATCACTTAGCGATCGATTCAAGATAAGCCCAGAGTGGCAAGGGTAAGCTACCCTCCATCTGGCGCCCCAAAAAGCCCAAATCCTAAACCCCCAAACCTCTAAACCC